CCGTTTCCGCGCAGACATAACAGCGGCGTCAAGGGCGCTAGGACGGACACTTCGAGCCCGCCAAACCAGTACGTGCCAGCGCTTCAGCTTACCCATTACGAGGGCCTGTTCGCCAAGTACCTACAGTCCCTGCCGGCCCTTGAGCGGTAAGACACATCGGTCCAAATCCCGCAAAAAGAAGGAAAAAAAGCAAAAAGAACAAAAAGGACCCCGCGTGCTGCTAGTGTCTATCACCATCTATGTACCATCGTTCTGAATAGTTATCGCCCGTGATTTGGAGAGCGATGATGTGTGTATTCCATTCGACAAAGCTTCCAACACTCGCCCAGGTTCCAATGATCAACATACAACAGTTGTACATCAGTACCAACTTCCCCGCACTTTATACACCAAGGCACCTATGTCTACTGCCGTACAACCTTTTTGGTTTTTGGAACTGGTAGATAGGTTAGGTGCAGATTTTCTGCACGCTTGAGGCCCGCTGTGAGTGGGGGTTGACGGCCACGCTGTCCCGGGATCGTTCGCGGCCCAAGTAACCTGATCACGGCCGACTAATGCAAGGCGTTGGGGGGCGTACTGCTGTACTGCTGTACCGCGCTTTTTTGTGCCGTCGTCGCCACAATCAACGGCACCACTGAAATATAAACTACGCGGGGTGCAGCAAGCCCGTGTTGGGCGTCTCTTGGGGCAGTGGGTAGTCGGCCGTGTTAGGCCGAGAGAGAGAGGTAGAGGTAGCGATGGCGTTGGAGTTGGAGAAAGCGTTGGAGAAGGAACTTGATTGGAGAGAGACGGCGGTAGCGGTGGAGAGACGGAAAGCAGTGCGCTACATGCGCGAGCCTTCAACACCGCAACCAAGGCCAAAAGGGTCCCCGTCCCTGCACCGGTGGTACCCATCAACATACGAAATTCCCAACACGTATCCCCGAGGATCCTCACGTCTAGAGACTGCTGCGAGTATATCTAACATCCCCCCTGCTGGCAACAGTATCTTAACTGCAAATTTCGAAATTTTACCGGATATCTCCAACCAAAGACGTCTTTTCCTGAATATATGCTATCAAGATTACTTCCAAAATATAAGAAACGAAAACCAAGTCCAAGAAACATGAATACTGCT